CTCTCTGTTAATATCGGACACTTGAAGAAAATTAGAATAAATTTACAGAATGAAAAAATAGAATAAAATAAGCAGAGAGATTGAAAGAGAGATGAAACAACAGAGTAAAAATTTACTTTGGAGCTTACCATGTTCTGCAATGATAGCATCCTTGATGTCTCCAAAAGATTGGTAAAGATCCATCCGTCAACAAATTAATGTCTTCCACTTGGTTGTATGAAAATGGACGATCTTGAACCATCTCGGTAATTTTTTTTCAACGTAGTTTATGGAGTTTCAAATTATATACGACTCGGTTATTCACAACTCGGCTGCGAAATACAAAATGATCCTTTTTACGCGTGGAAGACCGAATAACTGTAAGAGTGCCACCACGAAAACTACATGTAAAGTTCCACCAATTTGACCGACAGCAGCAGAAAAACAGGGACTTTTGTCTGTTGGCGATTTGAGCAATGAGCTATCCAGCGAACGTGTGCGTAATTGGCATGAGCTACAAACAAGACATTGCAGAATCGACTGCATGAAGATCGGCTGAGAAAGTCAACGGATACTAGGGCTTTAACGACACGTTAGATAAATGTTGATTCAACTGTCAATGATTAAATGTTACGGCTATAAGTACGACAGATCCAGTGGCTAGGGTTTTTTTCAAACCTCACTTTCCTCTTGTCTTGTGCGCCGCCCGCCGTGTTTGTGTTTCAACTTTACAGGCGTGCAACCTCTCTGTTCCAAATTGATTAACTATACCTGGATTTCAAAATATAACAAAGTTTCGTATCATTTGTGTTGAAAAGCTCAATTAGAATCAACTTTGGAGATTGTTGTAGATTTAATCGTCTAATTGTGCACAACAGCCGTGTACGATATCATTGTACGAGAAATTATCGACTGTACATAACTGTAGTATCATAAAATGGTTACTATTTTAGGAATCTTCATTACCGACAGTACGCAACTTCATCCAGTGTTTCGTTCGCGCATCTCTCACGTAGATAATTCGAAATTCCGAGCGCTGAAATCAATTGGCAGGCCTTTGACTGGTACCTAAGGCTGCTCTTCTGTCGTAAGTAAAATTGACGAAGTGATAGATGCAATTTACCGGAATTTTACATCGATTACAGCGACGTCTAATCGTACAATCGTTTGACTTTGAACCTTTTACAATCTATCAGTAATGATTTTATAAATAAAAATCCATCAGCAAGACAGAAAAGTTGAAAAATCTTGAGCACTGCAAGAACAGCGCTCGGTCGGTTGGATTTTTTTAAATGATTCTTTTGCTCGAGCTTTACTCGGGGTTTGAAACAAACATTGAAAACTCGCACAGACGCTCGCTCGCAAGCTCCTCTCTCTCTCTCTTTCTCCTCTCACTTTATCTCTCTCGCAATACCGCCTTGTACAAATAAACGCGAGATTGCACAGGTATTGTGACGTCGTGCATCAAAGCCCTTTTCGGGCAAAGTCGAGTTCGCCGCGTTGCATACACATACACACAGGCAGTAGTAGTAGCTAAGTATACATTCCTCGCATAGCTGTATATAAGCTCGCGCGAGGCACCTTATCAAGCTCTAGGCTTTATTATCATCGCGCATAAATATACATAGCATTGCCTCTGTATGGATGTGTGTGTGTGTGTGTGCGCGCGACTGCGGGTTTGTATATAATCTTGGCCAATCCGCAATTCCTCCTGCCTCTCCCGCGTTAGCGTACATACATACAGAAATTCCGTATCACAAGCTCGAATTACGCTCCGAGCTGTATAAATGTATATAGCACATATAGCGTCTTAGCTACTCTACACATCGCCATAGGATACACTTAAGAATCAAGCCTGTATGTCCATTAATCAGCGGCAACAGCAGCAGCAACGACTGAGGGATATGCGAGGGTGGGTGTGTATACGCGCGCGCTCGAATGGATTCAGCTCGGGTGAGTGTGTGTGGGGGATGGGGTGCGCCACAGTTGCTACGCTCCTGGTTGTACACACGGGGTAAAGGGGCTCGCGTATGTGAAATATACTTACTCGGGGCTGCTGCTGCTATATAGATATGTGTGTATCAGCCGAGAAATAGGAAGGTGTGTGGGGAGAGGGGAGGGGGCAGCTCACATCTCTCTCTCTCTTTCTCCGGTGCTAGCGGGCAATGCACGCACACACATTCGCACGAGCACACGAGTTATATCGAGGCAATAGCTGTGCTGCCGCGGCGCACATATATGGGCTGGAAACTTTGGGCGTGGCTATATGCACGCGACGTAGCCGTGGCGCGCGGCTGGCACCCAATGGCGTACATACACTACATACACACGTACGAGCGACCGAAAATCGAGAGTGGGATTTATCCATCTAAAGCCGATGCTGTTCCGGCAGCGCATACACACATACACTCACACACACACGTGATATACATGCATGGATATACGCGGTATACGTACGTAGATACGCTCTGGCGAAGGAAAAATTTTTTAGCGGCCTTGTCAAATGCCAAAGGGGATACAGCCCCCGAGAGCGAGAGATAGCGTAAGACTCGATCTTATTCTTCTTCTTCGGTTCTCTCTCTCTCTCCTTACTTACTTTTTTTTTTGTTATCTACTTACTTCGCTGGAGCTCGGAGCTCGCGCGCGCGTCAGCCAAGACGCTCATGTATGGTTTTTCCTGCCTCTCGTTCGAAACATCTCTCTTATACTCGCTCTCGAGCCTCGCGTATTCGTCGTCGTCGAGGTGAGCTCGTGGGATTTTAGCCGCTCGTCAATCTTATCTCTATCTGCTCTCTTTCTTGCCGTGTTTGTATAAATCGCGCGCGTGGGCTGCACTAACGCCCGAGAGAGAGAGAAAGAGTCGAGAGTACCATCGTCGAGTATAAGTAATGCCTTTTTTTCCTCCCCATTTCCAGTGTCTTACATTTGTTCTTTGGCCTTATAGAGAGAGAGAGAGAGAGAGAGAGAGAAAACGTCGAAACGATCGTTTGAATGATTACCTCGATAGCTCGCTGCGCGCAAGCTCACCTTTGCCCGCAATTTTACCTTAAACGATGGAAGTAAAAAAAAAAGAAGGAAGAAGAAGAGTCGGAGTACTTTGCGCGACACATTATACATATACATCTTTAGCGAAGCGCAGTAAACAAGTGCCTTATGAATTTTAAGCGGCTCCGCATCTCTTCTTCTTCATTCTCTCTCTCTATGGCTCTCCTCTGGGCGTTATACAGTCTACTGCACAGCACCTCGAGCTTTTTAGCTTCGTGTTAAAACGTGTAAATTAGATGCGCAAAGCTCGACGCACCACAACCAACCAACCAACCACCACCCCCCTTCCACCTTCGTCGACCTTTTCTTGCTCCTCGCTTTTTTTTCGTTCTTTTTCTTCTGCTTCTTTTCTTTCTCGCGTCATCTCGCCGCGTATACAACGGCAGGAATTACGACGAAAATATTTATTTTCTCCGCGCGGCCTCTTTCCCCCTTCTTATAGCTCTCATTCAAGAAAGCCGCAAAGCGCGCGCGCGCGTGAATGTAACTTTTGTTTCATTTAAACCGCATCAAACGCACTCGTCTTGTGCCTTATGCACAAGGCACACACACACATACACTCGCGTAAGCCTTTCTTAGTTTCTAAAACTTTGCTAGATTCTGCGCACTTAGCAGCTGCTGCTGCTGCCAGCGAGGCTCCTGCCGCCGGTGCAGCGCGGCAGCCGCAGCGCACCGCAGCAGCTCCTGCGGCTTCTCTAATGATTTTAGCTCGTGCCTCGCATATGTGTATGTGTGCGTGTGTACGTGCAAAGGTATACAGAGCGTAGGAGAGCTTCTCTCTCTCTCTCTCTCTCTCTCTCTCTCTTCCCTCGTTGCAAGCTCCCTAACTCACAGAGGCATACATACGCGTGTATGTGTGTACGTGAACATCGAGCTTCTGCTGCCTCTGCTGCTACTGCTGCACTGGCACAAGATGTGGTATTCCAAAAGGTAATGGCGCTACATATATATAGAGAGAGAGAGCCTAGAGGCTATTAAATGCAGACTGTGCGCGCCTTCCTCTATGCCATACTCGCATGCGCTGAGCGCTAGACGAAGCCTCGCTTTTTAGGTAATTTTGCGCGCATGGCAGATATTATTATATATATATACGTACGTGCAGCGGGGCACACGCTTCAGCATATATATGTATATTTACCTGCCTTTCGTGTAACTTCGCATGAATTATTTAAAAGTCTTTAGCCTCCCGTGTGTCTATTTGCCTTTATATCATATAATTATACGAAAGTTGCTTTTTTATATGAGTTATATAATAAAGAGACCGGCCTTAGGGCTATATTGGATATATAGGCGCGCGGTCAAGAGGATCGACAATGAAACTCGTGCGTGTAACAAGTTTTTTTTCTTCTTCTTGTATGATATATCGTCGCCGAAAAGTCGACGAGCGACTAATTGTACATATATAGTCGTTCACGAACGCACCAAAAGACTGACCCCGCGTAATGGCTTTAGCATTAACTTACGCTGCCGCCGGGTCATTCGACTCGATAATCGAGTTCCGGAGACGTTTTTCGGGATGAAGACGTATTGTAATTATGTACGGCGATTGTTACAACCAGAAATCGTTTGTATACTGCTGACTCGTGCTGCTCCTGCTGCTTCCGTAGTATAGCCAGCCGTCTTGCTGCCCGAATTGGAGTGCAGGTGAAAAATGTCGTGCGCAAGACTCGTTTTTCAAGCGCCTATAGACACACATATCTACTTACGACGGAAATATTATAGACGCGCGTGTGCGCAAGAAGTCGACCTATAAGCTTGGGTACTTTCAAAGATATAATATACTTACGAGCTCCGGCTTAAGGCGTAATGAGTAATGCGCCTTTTAAAAATTATTTTTGACAGAATATCTCTGTTCATTGAGGAGATGAATAATACATTTTATTGAATAATATATATTATATTACATTACAACTTGGTATTACGCTGTGTACATGAATCGGTGTAAAATTTTTGTATCTCAATTAGTAAATATTTAGTTAGTCGGTTTGTCGTTGCTACACAAACATCAATCGTCGACGAGATTTCAATCTAGCAAGATGGAATTCGGTGATTTGTTGAACTGCGGTGTCAGGTAATTATATTTTTTCACGAGAATGGAATTATAAAATTATATAGGAACATATTAATTGATGTTATTGAATTTGTTTCAGCGTGAAAAAAGAACCACGTGACGAAGAAAATCATCACGAAATAATTGACGAAACTCCTGACATAAAAAATGTTCTATTTTCCAGAGAATATTCGGTAAGCAATTCGGCAGTCGTAAGCGATTTATTTAGTAAACATTTTTTATTATAACTTTCACGTAAATTTATATTTAATTGCAGACGCTTCACGAACGCGAAAAAAATCACGAAATGGTATTTGACGACGTGAAAATCGAGTTGGAATGTGTTGACATGAAGCCCCATTTATTTGTTGTTAAGAAAATGGAAGATTATTCTCCAAATCACTTGCAGAATGTGAGAAACAGCGACGATTATGAGACTAAAAACATAGTTAAACTAGAAACTGTGGATGGAGTGAAAAAAGAAATGAATTTGAATTTCGATTGTGATCTCGGTGAGCGGAATGAGGTTGAAAGAGTTTCAAAAAAGAGTAACTATGACAACAGACTCGAATCCTACGTCGGTACGACGCGTGGTGGTATCGCTCATACGTGTACTACACGTGGAAAGACGTTTAAACAAAAACGCAGTCTCAAAGATCATATCAATACAGTGCATTTGGGTATCACCTATGCATGTGATATATGTGAGAAGAAATTTGTGGAAAAGAAGAGTTTAAAACGCCACGTAGATGAAGTGCATAACGGCGTTAAACATGGATGTGACATATGCCAAAAGACATTCTCAGGCAAAAGGGGTCTCAAAAGACATTTCTATGCGGTGCACAAAGGTGTGAAATATGCATGCGATATATGTTTAAAGGAATTCATGTCTAAGGATAGTCTGAAAGTACACATCGATTCGATACATAATTGTGTCATTCATTCTTGCGATATTTGCGAAAAGACATTCACACAGAAGGGTCATCTCAAAACTCACATCGAAATGGTGCATAATAAAATCAAGCATCAATGTGATATATGCCCAAAGACATTCTCATCCAAGAGTAACCTCAGAAAACACATCGAAATAATACATAATGGTGTCACACATGCATGCGATGTTTGCCAAAAGAAATTTACAAGTAAACATCATCTCAAAACTCACATCGATTCGATGCACAATGGCGTTAAACATCCATGCAATATTTGCGGCAAGGCATTTTTAAAAAAAATATATCTTAAAACTCACATAGATGCGGTGCATGACGGTATTACTCATGCATGCGAGACATGCGGAAAGACTTTTAGATATAAACAAAATCTCAGAGCCCACATCAATGTGGCTCATCCCGCACGCATTGCAAATAAATAAATTTTATAAAATGTATTTTTAATTGTGTCAAAATTGGTGGTTTACTATCTAAGTGTGTTTTTTTTCAAAAACTAGTGTAAAAATTGTGTTTTATTACGATATTATGAATTCTTCCAATGTTATGTTATGTTATTTATAAACGTGAAAAAACAACGTTCGTGTTTAGAAAAAAATCAATAAAATTTGATAGAAAAACAACCACCGTACTTTTAAAATACTATTTTTCTTTCTTTCATTGGTTTCAGCAAAATAAGAATCCTACCAAAATGGTAACTTTTCGTATTCAGATGACACAATATTAGAAAAAATTGTATTTTCATCTTCGAAAAAACATATTTCAATTTTTCGCCAATTTGAAGGATATGTACCACTGTACTTTTGGACTTTTATGCTATTCTTGCATTTATAAGAGGGTTTGAGATTATTAATATGATGTTTGACTACAAGTTTGATTTCTACAATAAAATTTTATATCAAAATACATGATTTAAATATTTGTACATAATCGACTCAGGCAATTGAAAATCCAACTTTGAACCTCTGTGTATACACGAAGATTGTGAACCTAGTTTGCCGAACTTTCAATAATTATCATTTTCCCATGTACTCTTTAATTGTGCATACTTAGTTTTAATTTTATTTTTTCGAGCGGTAATAGTTGACGTGATTTAGCTCGTATATTTATAATTGGAATAAATTCAAGAATAGACATGAAAATCTTCAATTGCTACAGATATCATGTTATTTGAAAATACACTATTTACCTAACCAGCATTGAATTACTTATTCCTAAAACTTTGTCTTTTCCCTTGTGATTTCTTAGTATTCGGGCATGCGCCATCTAGCGATAACTTAGGTACTATTTGATGCTTCGCTCGATAAAGATCGATTTCATATTTTGAAAAATTTGAGATAAAAAATTCGATTTACGCTCAGCAACATAATTAGCATAATTAGCATCATGTGTGTCCGCTCGTCTTGCTTGATCGCATCGTTCTTAAATATTACTTTAATTTTATTATGCTTAATACTATAGTTATTGGTTTCTAACAATGCGATGCAAATACCTCTACTTGGGTGACACGCATCTTGATGTAAACATACAAATAATTTCCTGAATAGGATTTACTGAACCGGCACTGAATTACTTATTTTTAAAACGTTGCTTTTTTTCTTGCGGCTTCTGAGTATTCGGGCATGCGCCATCTAGTGTTAGCTTAGGAACTATTTGAATTAATTTGTTTTAATTCGAAAAATTTTGAGAAAAAAATCCTATGGACACGTCATTCCCTTGGTATTATGTGACTTTTTGAAATATCGTTCAAAACGGGCTAATCGACAAATTACGCTGCTCAAGACTCAAAGACCGTGTGCCACGCAATACATATAAATTTAAAAGCTCGCGCTAAATATACAGACGGCGCGCACAACACCAATCGCAACAGGTTCATTAAGACGACACGATCTCGGGCCATTATTTTTTTTTTTTTTTTCAAACGGAGAGGATCATTTTTTTAAAGCATACGCAGCAGCGGGGGTTAATTAAGCGATTACGACGCGCACGCCGTAATATACCGGAGGCGGAAGGAGAGAGAAGACAAAAAAAAAGAGAAGAAGGAAGAAAGAAGGTTAATTCCCCGCGCGCGCTAAGTGATTACGAGTCTCGTTTGACCCCTCGACTCATCAGTTTTCCATTTGGTCGATTAGTCTATATCTCGGCGCGCTAATACTGCGTACGACTACGCCGCGTTGCTTATGCTCCTCCTCGGCTCGAATAATTATTTCGCGATAAAGTTTCCTATCTGCAATTTTCGTTTCTGTAATATACGTTATGCTCCTCGGAGCATCGCTCGCTCTCCTAAAAGCTATAAGCCTCCCTCGAGGACGCATGGATTTCTTGTTATACATATATCTATATTTCCCATCGTGCGGGGGGGTTGCTCTGCACACTACACGTACGCGCGTCACGTACAGTGTAACAGCAGCAGCGGCAGCGGCAGCACACAAATTGATTAGTCGAGCACAGCCTCGGCAGCGGCAGCGGCAGCAGAGAATTAAAGGGTGGATGCGCCCTCCGCGAAGAGAGGAATATATAGAGGAGGAAGAGTAGGAGGAGGATAAGCCTCCCTAGTGACCACAATGCCGACGTTGATTGGTCGACGTATATGAGCGCGCGGGCATATATACGGGCGACGACGACGCCATACGCCGCCGCCGACGCAGCATATTATAGGTAGCTGAGAACACACGTGTGTGTATGTGTGTGTGTTGCACACATTGTGTGTGTGTGTAAGAGATGGCTCTCGGCTCGTCGTCGTCGAGCATACGTGCGAAACTCTCGTGTCAGCGTATGCGCGTAGTACCAGAGTCGTATAGTCGTATATACGAGCCTCACTCTCTGCGCAGGTCATGTAATTATATATATAACGCAGAGAGCGCAGGAAAGTTACGAATGGAGTTAATTGTAGTTCTTCGCCGCCCGTATTAAGAAGGGAACGTTAGCGAGAAAGAGGCGCGCGTGAGGCTTAATGAGAGAGAGGGAGAGAATGACGAAAATGACGATAATCATGGGGAATTATTGACGCGTGCCTTGAAATTGGAATAAGCTAGTTTTTGATGAGTTTGCGGAATATATATAACGCGAGGAGCTTTCACATACTCCTCCTCCTCCTCCTCCTCTCTAGCTCCTCTTCTACTCCTTTACTCGGCTGCTGCCGCTGCTGCTGTGTGATCATCATCAGGCCAGAGCTCGTGAGCGAGCGTGGCTTTAATTAGCCCCTATCCTTGTGTATGTGCGCGAGAGTAAAATGATGATGCCGAAGTTTCTATACGGTCTTGCGCAAGTTTCAAAGGTATAATAGCCAAGCCGCGTGTTATTGTGCGAACCATAAGAGCGACGAACCTATAGCATATAATGGCGAAAAAAATCATCTTTCGCCTATATACGTAGGAAAAGGCTAATTTGATTTTGATGATCGTTGTTGTATTAAACGCACGTAGCGATTCCAAAATGTTTATCCGAAATTAAAACGAAGAAGGAGAAGAAGAAAGCGAGAGGGAGCTGAGATGAAAAAAAAAAGAAATTTATGCATCCATCCGTGCACGCGATCGGCGGGTATAGCAGCAACACCACTCGACTTTTCTCGCTGCCGCTGCTGCACACGAGCCCGCGCTGCATTCAATGAGGTCGCTGGACCAAAAAAAGAAAAAAAAACGAAAGAAAGAAAATCCCTCTGCACGAGCATATATCTCTCTATTAAACGCCTTAATTGGCATCAGCTCTGCTTATGCCCGCGCGCGCGCGCGTGTGTAACTCGGCTGCTCGCTCTTTTTTTCTCTCCACCTCCTCTTCGTTTTTTTTTTTTTTTTTTTTTATTACTCCAATCTGTGCGCGCGGGCATACATGTTTGCTTGCTGCTGTGGCTGCCGCTGCTCAGCTTTTATTCGATTGAAGAGGCTCGTTATCGCGTGCAGAAAATCTCCTGCCCAATCGCGACGACGACGACGACGACGACGATGAAGCCACAGCCACGGCTCGTTGATGCGAATGAAAAAAAAAGTAGAGAGAGAGAGAGAGAGAGAAAAGAAAAAAAGTGAGCAGCAACGATGTGCTGCTGGTGCTGGTGGTTCCGTACAAAACTAAAAAAAAAAAAAAAGCCGGGGGTGGCTTAGGGGTTGGGTGATGGTAGCGGCGCACTCGTAGCAGTGGTGTATTAGTAGTAGTGGTAGCAGTGGTGGCAGTACAGTAGATGGTCCTCGAGAAATTCCTGCGTTGAAAAATCTCCTCGTTTCCTCGTACCCCCTTGTTTTTACGCGCGAGCAATATGACTATGTGCACGCAGTTCGTATGCACACATACACGCGTACGGCTAGCTGCACCTGTACGTAAGCACGTACGCATAAGCGTCGAAGGAAAAAGTTCCTCCGGGCGTGAAAGAAGCAAAAAAAAAAAAAAAAAATTCTACACGGCATCGCGTACATCAAGTGCGCGAGAGGTCTCTCTTTCTCTCTCTTTTCAGCGTGTGTGTGTGTGTGTGTGTGTGTGTGTGTGTGTGTGCGAGTGTGTTATTTTTTCAGTTGGAAAAACATCGAGCGTGTAATTTGCCTCGTATAGTCTTTTAAAAGAGCATGCGTATATGGGAGTGTGCATTGAAAAGAATGAATGATTTTAGTTCCGATTCGTTAACTAGATGGCGTGTTTCGCACCACTAAGTGATATAACTGAGTTTAGATTATTTATATCAAGAAAGGTCGGTATCACGCAACCGCCAGTGTACTGTGCTGATTTAGTTCTTGAAGCATCTATTAAATAAATAAGCAAGTACATGGATCACTGCTGTTTGAAAATAATACACATGCTTTCTCTCTATCCTCTTCGACGCAAGCAAACGAGGCGGACAACAGATCAAGCCGTGTTAAAATAAAAGCGTGTGATTAAAAGTATAGCTTAAAAATCAAATTAATTGACGGGATGAAGCATAACGAATATTATTAGTTACAGTTCGTATATGAAGGTATGTTTGTGAAATCGTTAAGCTAAAAAATTACTCAGTATTTCGAATTCCTACAAATTAGTGTCGAGTGTCGTTACGACGCAGACAGTTGAATGAATATAAAAGGTATAATCAAAATTGAGATTCAATCAACATCCGAATTTTATCAGAATTTTCGGGGCTGTCTATTGTCCTTTTTAATAGATTATTTTTAATATTTATAGTCAGTCTGAGTGACTTTAGAAAATAACTGTCACAGAGCTTTATTATCTGAGCTTTTACAATAATATACACAATGATAATACTCTTTATCGTTGAAAAATCTCAATTTTTGCCCATTACAAAAATTCAGGAGTTATTAGTTGATATTGTAAGAAAACGCTGTGATTTTTTGACCATGAAAGTCTGGATGGAACTCGATTAGATATTAACTTTAATGTTTCAGGGTAAAGTTGCAAGCTCTAAAAGCGATTAACCTCTTTTAAAGTATTTCTTCATAAAAGCTTGAACAATTGCCAGTAAAAAAAGCTCCACTAAAATAATTAAAGTAAGCATGAATTTCTAAAAACCACCGACTTATTACAAACCGGAAAAAGAATTTTCCAGCCATTCGATTTCGCAGAGAGCCAGCCATATATTATACTTATAAACGCGTGCTCACTTGGACGATAATTAACGTCTCT